AACTGTTTTCAACCATGGATGCCAACTTAAAATACTATACGCGGCAAATAGCACCAGAGAGTCGTTGGTTGACTGCTTTCTGCTTACGTTTTGGAAAGTTTCAGTGCAAAAGGCTTCCGATGGGAATATCTGCCGCGCCGGATGAATACCAAGCCTGTATCGACATACAGTCAAAAATACTCGGAGATCTCGACTTTGTTATTGTTTACATGGATGATATGATCGTCTACGCGGTATCGGAAGATTATCATCTCATCCACGTCGAGCTTGTCATGCAAAGATTACGCAAATACAATGTGACTCTGAACGGGAAGTAGTGCCACATCTTACGCAAGAATGTGGAGTACCTTGGGGTTACGCTCAGTGCTGCAGGGATAGAACCCCAAGAAAAAAAGATTCGAGCGATCCTCTCGTTGTCGCAGCCAAAGAACAAGAGACATCTACGCAGATTTCTAGGAATGATTAATTACTCTCGGGACATGGTGATCAACAAGTCAATGCTTCTCAAGCCTCTCACACAGCTGATATCTAACAAGGTATCCTTCCGGTGGACATCCATGGAGAACGATGCCTTCGAAAACATAAAGAAGGCACTAGCTCAAGCGTTGCTGCTCAATTTCTTTGATTTCAAACAACCATTTGACATATTCGCAGATGCCAGCGGAAAACAGCTTGGTGGGCTTGTGCAACAAGGTGGCAAGATAATTGCATGCTACTCGCGAAGTCTGACTCCATCGCAGTGCAACTATACGACTATGGAGCTTGAGCTGCTATCAGTAGTTGAAATTCTGAAGGAATATCGAACCATGCTACTGGGTTTTCCAGTCATCGTGCACACGGACCATCATAATTTAATTAATCCGACGGAAACCTCTTTATGAGTCAAACGTTGGAAGTTACTCCTTCCTGAACGTCGTGTGACAGTGTGCTACGTTCAAGGAAAAGTCAACGTTGGGGCCGGCGCATTTTCTCGAATGCATTATCATGCCAATGAAGAGAATGCCGAGGATACGGAGCGCCCAGAGGCATTTACCATCGACGAGGTGGATTGCGTTCTTAGCGGCAGCTATATTAAACAAGGCCAAGATGAAGATCAAGACACTAAAAAAAATATTCATCCATGTGTTCGAAACACCAGCGATCCGGACTATCAGATCATGAGTGTGATGGGAGCTCGTTTACTCACGTACCAGAAGCGTGTGGCCCTCCCTTCGGGATTGCGGGATGATATAATTGAGTGGTATCATGCAAACTCTGTCATCCTGGAGCAAAAAGACAATACCATACGATGCGAGCAATATTTTACTGGCCTGGCATGGATCAAAGTATAAGGAAATATGTTCAAGCTTGCATCATTGCAAACGAGCCAAGTTGCATGGTGGTAACCAAAAATATGGCAAGGTGCCTCCACGTGACCTACGAACTGTCAACCCTTTTGATGTGGTGCATGTCGATACCATGGAGCCGTATGGACCCGATCAGTGCTACGCTTTGACAGTTGTCGTAGTGATCACATACCAGAGGAAAGTTTTAGCTCAAAAAACTCAGTAGAAAAAGAACGATTTGCCGCGTAAATTAGTCCAAAGAACATGACTCAAAGCGTCAACTAGTTGTGCGAACTACAAATCAGCGAGTCATCTAGCTCACAAAGCTTCTTATCTTGTTTTTAGGAAATTAGTCGGCCCAGCAAAGCTCCAGCACAAAAGGTTCAAGATTGAACATTCCGCGTCAGGTAAAATCGTACACCCACATTGATATCTACTATTCAGTCAGTTCTACAGAAATTTTGGATGGCTTCTGCATGTGTTATGTATTTCTTTTAGTGAAAAAACCTAGTGTGCTAACGATTTAGCAAAGTGTAGGGGGCTCACATACATTAAAATAGTTTTCCGATTGCGTCACATAAAATGGACCATATTAGCATTAATCCTGGAATCATAATATAATGGTATAACTGTACCATTGGAAATATATCAGCGAAAGGTAATATTTAGCTACACGATAGTAGCGGCAAATACCATCGGACATGACGACAATAGGCCAAGACTTACAGGAAACCAGCAGGGAAGAATGTTGGGGCTTCTGGAGGCCGGCCGGATAATGCGCGCCATAAATGATCGTAGCGCACATAACCTCGACACTCTACTACCCATGGTCTCTCCTATCTCTTCCAACATAAATAAGGATCTACCTCATACCTCTGGAAGCGATACGTGCGGTTTCTCAGGATCACCTTTGCGCAGAGAAACTTGTCCGCCATCCAGCTCAAGATCGATCAAAGCTTGCCGGTGTCTGCTCGCACCGTACAGCGATTTTGGCCGACGTCGAATTGCTCGTGTACTTCAAGATGAAAAGAACACGTTGCCACTAACGGCCGAGGACATGAAAGTACGCAAATCCTGGGTCCAGAACATGTTGCTACGTGTGAATACCGGATCATTCTGGGAGTCCGTTCATTTTTCGGAACATATACAATGGAATCATAACGGACCCGACGGCTTTCAGTATTACTGGCAAGATCTACGCAAGCCTGTCCTCCAGAAAAAGCGACCTCAAGCCGGAGGTGGGTCTATTATGGTTTGTAATGCTTCTAACGCCCGTGCCAAGTCGCCACTTGTTGTTTTGACAAGGAGGCAGAATTTAAACTACTACGTGTATTCAGTGTCTGAATATCATCTCCCATTCGCACACCTAAGCTATGTTACAGAATTTATAATTTAGCAGGACAAAACAAGCATACATGTTTCACATCGCAGCCGGGAAATTCAGGAAATAGAGATTGACTTGCTCGACTGACCGTCAAAGTCACCTAATCGCAATCCCATCAATTGCTTGGGTCTGTCATTTGTAGGCAAGTGTACGCTAATAAAAAACAGTTTGAGAGCGTTTCTTACTTGATGACATGCTTTATTGCAACATGGATGTTATTCCGAATGGCACACTAGTGTCACTAGTTTGCTCGATGCCGCGACGATGCATTGAGGTTGTCGAGAAGAAGGGCAATTTAATTCGCTATTAAGCACAGCAAGTCTATAGTTGTCTTTACTTATACGTATATTATGTATGCTTATAATATGTATGATTTGTTACGTCGCCGTGGCAGAATCAGTTTGTTGTATATGAGGCCCCCCACCCTTTGCTAAATCGCAAATTTAGCACAATAGGGTGTTTTTACCAATATAAATACATCACATATCTAAACGGCATCCTGAAAATTGTGACATCGACTAAATAGTAGATAACAATGTGGTTGTACAATACGATCTGGAGCTGAGTGTACACCTGAGCAATGCCTTTTGAACTCTTACGGTCAATGACGTCTCAACAAGGCACGGACATCTTGTTGATCAAAAGGTAATCGGTGTTCATTCAATATTTTAAGGCGACAAAATCCCGTCTAAATGCCAAAAAGTAAGGTTTTACTCCCTATCGGGCAAAACCTAATGATTGATTAGTTTGGGTGGCCGACACGTACATCCCTGACTAACCTACTTGTTACAGTGGGTGACCACAGGGTACAAGTGCCTTTAGCGTAGTCATCGACCTGGCGCGTACCCCTGTTATACTTATATACCTTGGCTATAGTGCACGTGGATGTCTCTCAACCAAATGTACACTGTAACTGCAGAGCAAGGGAAATTTTATAGAACGAACTCGCTTCATAGAAAGGGAAAACAAGACCGTGGTAATCTACAGCTAGAATCTATTCATGTACATCTTTTCGTTTCTGTAACAATTATAAGTACAAGTACCTAATTTAGCTACCTGCTCAGCACCCATTGCGCGCTCTGGCAGCAACAGGAGTATTCAGCTGGTCAAGATAATGGATGATAGTATTTGATGAGTGGAGCCGTGCAAAACATGACCTTCAAAGGTAATATTCATGTATTATTTAATCAGTATAGTAATCGCTGGCGACTATTATTAATTAATATTATATATGCATTGTCGGATTTTGGTGTCAACCCAAAACAAACATCGCCCGTCAAAAAATTCATATAAAATGTCGGCTCGAGCCATGGCGCCATGCGTTGTCCTCGGTCGCTCACAATAATCGCCACGCGGCTCTTCTACGACTGGCAAGCACGTCTTGTCCAGGTCGGTACGCACTAGAAGCCTCACGAGAACATTCGTTCCATCTTGTGCGCCTCTTGGAATAGTTGCAGACAAATGCAGTCATCTCACCACACGAGTTCTCCGATTGCAAGTGCCACTTTGCCAGCGGCGCGGTCGACCGCGCGACTGGCCCCGACATGTCTCATCGTCTCCCTGTGTCGGTGGTGTAATGGATGTGCAATTGCATTGCTTGTGCAGTGGCCAACGAGCGCCCAACCAACGTTGTCGTCTCTCAATACGCGACTCTCACTGCAGCTTTGTAGGAAGCTGTCACTCTGACTGGACTTGCCTCGATGAGCTCGTGCCTGCTTTGCCCATTACAGTCCTATTTGCGATGGCCATTGCCTCACATTCGCATTCTGTCGTTCGTAGACCTCTGATAGCATCGCAAGCGGTGTTTTTCACGCCTCTCGTGCTGGCTCTGCGTGTCTCACGAGCTAATGATGACAACTGTGGCTAAACGAGACAGAGATGGAGATGCGCGCTGTCGATTTCTTCCGCAATTAACTGATCCATTCAGATTTAACTTTCGTGGCTGTGTCCCTTTCCGCTACATCAGCTGATCCGTCCATTCTTTGGCCAAAGCTGCGTTGGTCCCGATTCATATGTGCACTCCCGCGTGTGGCTTGTACGTGATTGTGAGCAGCATTTGACGCCATACAGCTCGGGTATACGAGTCCAAACCCGGCTTCATTTGTACAGTGCTTCGGTTTTGTCCCAGAAAACAGCATAGGTACAGACACCACGCGTCCCCAGATAGAAACTGGTCAATATGTGGCTAGTCTATGAAAGATGGCAGCCGGTCGGTACCTCGTCGTCCCGACATTGCGACTTGAGAACTTTGCTAGGCTCATTCTCTAAAGTGCACACCAACGACTGTACACATGCAGCTCTTTCGTCGGTTGTTGACGGTTTCTGTCATCTTCTGGTGGAGAAGAGCTGGCTCAGCAGCCGCTGGCAAAAGTCGGACCAACGATGTCGCTCGCGACCGTGGCCCCGTTCCCCTTCGTCTAGAGGCGAATGCGTCCGTCGCGTGGGAACACGCTCAGCCGCCCGAGAGTGCAGCTGAAGCGGAAGGCAACGAGGAGAGGGTACTAGACACTTTAACGCCGTTCATTACTGAAGCGATCGACGCGTTTCACATGCATGGGTGGATGTTAAAGGAGCTGCACCCATTTCAAGTTCTCAAGGAACTTCCTGATCACAATGGGATGGCGGAGAAGGTCATCCATCAGGCGCTTGTCAAGTGGCTCGAGTATGTTAAGCTTGTTGAAATCATGGGTCGAACGATTACAGAACGTGAGGTCATCGATGAACTACTGAAGAAACTCTCATCCGACTTGGCGCGTACAAGATTTTCCCGTCACCTTCGGACGCTTCCCCAGTGGAAAGGGCTCGCGGATGAATTGGATAGGGTGCTGCTGGCTAAGCGGGACTTGGCAACCTTTGATCTGCTGGTTAGTGTGTGGCTAAAATCGAAGATGGGAACTGACGAAGTCTACGAGTTAATGCCAGTTGCAGCGATGGATATACTTACAGGAGACGTGAGCACGAATGAGATGTGGCCTGCTGTCAGACAAGACCTGGTATGGTTGGTATATTTTCGTTATAGTTGTGCCGAATGGTACAAGGATGAATCTTACATCGAAACCTTTGGAAAATGGTTGACGGACAAGAGAGGTGAAGATGAGGCTCTGGCATTCTTCCACTTTTATCGAGACCGGAAAGTCGACATATATGATGGCTGGCAAAAAGTGCTACTCGCGGAACGCCCTGCCCTTGTGGAGAAGCTTATCCCTATTTGGCAGGCTTCAAATGTGAATCCCGAAAAAGTCTACAACATGCTGCCCGTTGCACAGGATGTTCGTCTTAATGGTATAGGACCATCGGAGCGGTGGCCTGCCATGCGTGAAGAGCTTTTGCTGTGGAGAAAGTATGAGTTCGAGTGGAGAAGCAAGGGGTTACGTGTCCATTATGACGGCTTTCCCAGTCCCTCCAGAGAAATTGTATTCAGTACGCTGAGGACCAAGAGCAAACCAGAAGACGTCGAAAAGTTTCTCACTGCCCTCCGAATTGATAAAGGTTCAAGTTTCTATTGGCTTTTTTGACGACGGAGCAGTTATTGCCTCTCATGACCTTTAATGGATGCTGAGGTGCTCAGGGTGATGAAGTTAAGGGCGAAGTAAGGCGTGAGTTCTGAAAACGCCTGCAAGATGGTGCTCGTTGCAGCGGTGAATCCTGGTAGACATGTTTTGAGGAGATTTAATTCGCCGAGTGTGTGTCTGTCGATCCACTTAAACAGCTTCTTTAAAAATATATACTTGTACCGAGAAAATTGTGGTAAGTTTGATGACCTTGCGATTATTGAGCTGATGTATCCACTTCATGTAATTGCAAGTTTGTTTCTAACATTTCGAAGCTGAGGGTAACAATGATCACGCGTGAGTCATCTCATTCAAGCATTATGTCGATGTGTTTGATGTGAAGGCTCATGGGCGGAGATGGATACAGTTGGCGGGCACGTGCGCGCGATTCGACCGCAGAAACATCTTCATGATTAATCAATCATCAACATGACACAAAAGGCAAATGAAACATTCAGACGATGACGATCGCATTAATTGATCTGCAGCTATTTTGTGCACAACATTCGTATCCGATTGCGTGTTGCAGCTATGAGCTTGCTTTCGAACATAACCTTCCGTAGTTATGGAAAGCAGGCGCGCCTGCAACACGCATTTGACCAATTGCTGCTTGACAGAGCTACGTTGGCCATACTTCGATCGACCAGCACTGTAACGGGGCATCCCGTTACATGGAATTGTCACTTTAAAGAAAGAATGACAATAAAGAATATTAAGTGAATATTCTCTGACCAATATCACCGATAATGGTGATATTGGTGAATCGATTAAAGGGTCTGCACATTGGTTGATATCTTGACGATATCAATCCACCAATCGCCGCAGGACGCGCGCGATGAGTGGTGACGAGACGTCACCATACACTCAGTTAGATTAACATAATTAAGTCAGGTTAAACAGAGAGACATTAACAAAAGACTTAATTATATTAATACAACAGTTCTACTTTTCCATTCTCTTCGCTTCCTCGTTTGCCTCGTGTACGTCTGTCGTGGCACCCGAAACCCTTGCGTTAAGTTCACGCAAGGGTGTGCCCCGTTACACCTGGTAGCACTTTGTAGTCCTTCCAAGGACCACAGCATCCAACATGAACATGTTGGATGATGAAGAGACCTTTCACGCCACGCGTGAAGTGTTTAACCATTTGAGTGAAATCGAATGGAGTGCGGTAGAACGAATGTGTTCTACCGTAGGCGAGTTCGCCATTAGCGCCATGTTGAAGTCTCTAGACAGATACCAACAACATGCCGCTATAGCCAAGTTCATTCAAAATGAACTTGTCGCTGAAAGGGAGAAAGTAGCCTTGCTTCACCAGCAAGGCTCTGAACAGGCCGAGCAGTTGAGAGAACTCGGTGCTCAACAGACAGAGATGTTGAGACAGCAGCAATTCCATGCTGCTGTGGGCGGGACGGCACATGCGCGTCGTCCCGAAGTCATGAAAGTTGACATCTCCAAGTACAGTGGAGTCCCGGAATACTCCCTCTTACTGTGGTTTGTCGAACTCGACAGAGCCTTAAAAGCTCGTCGCGTCGAAGATGAGGAAATGAAACTCACATTTGCTCAAAACCAATTGGCAGGACGTGCCAAAACTTGGTCCCTGGGCCCCGAGAGTAGCGACCCACATGTGTTTAGCTCGCTAGATGACTTCAAGTCCCGGCTCAGACAAACGTTTGAGCCGCCACGGGCTGAGTTCATGGCTCTTTCAGATCTCCTGAAACTCAAGCAGGGTAAGCGTGATGTTCACTCTTACGACCAACATATACGACTCCTTGCGAGTAGTATAACTGCCAACCCAGTTCATGAACACACGTTGATTACGGTGTTCATGCAAGGGCTCGCAGAAGGACCCGTCAGGAGCCACCTGTTCCGCCTTGAGCTGAATTCGCTGGAAGATGCGATATCAGCCGCGGAACAGGAAGACTTCAGCATGAGACAGGATCATGCTAGCTCAAACTCTTATCGTCCAACGAGACAACAAGAGATCGGAGGTCCAGATTCAAAGGACCTCTGCTATGTTGAGAGCGAGAGACCTCGCTCTTAAAATAACAAGCGATTGCAGAAGTGCAATCGCTGTCAGAAGTTAGGGCACTACGAATACGAGTGTAGTGCTCCACTCCCAGTACCAAACAGTACTGAGCGAAATGGACGACCATTCGCCAAGAAGGTCAATGGGCGTGGGTCCAGCGCTGTTGCGAAACCGCAACAGCGAGACGGACCATCAAAAAATGGTCGGGGTCAGTAGGGGCGGAGCGCCATACTGATCCAGCAACCTCAAGAGAATTTGCAAATCTCTTGGCGAAAGTTGCTCCAGATACATAATCATTGTGTGTCTCTGCACCTGATGATGACGTTTCGCTCATCACCTTGAAGTTGGAAGCGACAAATGATTTGTCACTTCGTGCCCTAGTAGACCGTGGGGCGTCGAGCAACTTTGTTCGACGCCAGTCACTAGAGGTTCGTAGGCTCAAGTTCGTTGAGCGCGACATTCCCCCTCACGAGGATGACGGTGCGCCTTGCAACAGGCGAATCGATTACCGTTGAGAAACGTGTAGTAGGAATCCACTACACGTTAGAATGCGAACAGTACGATGATGAATGCATCGTATTAGATCTAGATGACAAATTTGATGTCATCCTGGGATTACCTTGGCTCAGAAGGTACGAGCCAAGGGTGAGCTGGCAGCATCGATCCGTGAAGATGCCTGCCGCTTGTTCATCAGATGGCCATCTGATGAACGTCATGGAGCGTCCACAAGCGTGTGGATGTACTGCGAGTGAGTGCGATGGCCTCGCTTGCGGTACGGTCGTTAGCACGACTGCACAAGATCACTGTGTAGTTGATCACTACACTGTGACGCAAGATCCCGGCAGCTGTACAGAAGTACAGGCGGCGCCGAAGGTCCACCACTCGAATAAGTCGAGTGGACCAGGACATTGATGCATGTCTAGCGGTCAGCATCTTAGGCAAAAGAAACCTGTTGCCTTTAAAGGGCAACATGGACATCCTAGGTATACTGGAGAGTCGACCGTAGAGGATCGGTACCTGACTGTGGTTGCACAGCCACAGTCAGAAGACGTCGAGGGAATAAGTCCCCACGTACTTGAGGAAGGAATTACTCAAGAGTAACTTGCTGAGGGATCAGGCCCTCTGCAACCTGTGGAAGAAAGTTCCCAGGAAGAATCCGAGACGTTGAACGTCTTGGTTAATGACGGATCAAGCGTAGGCGCTTATACACTTGATCTGATTGTGCCTCCGAAGTTAACGTCGGAGATAACTCAACTGCCAACGCTAGAACCGAAACGGTTCTTGCGTGATCTGCGCAGTGGCAAAGTAAAGCAGATCTGCATACTCGCCACAGAGGATGAGTATGTGGCCGATATTCGGTCGGCGACAGTATTTGCTGAGAACGAACGGGTTCTCAGCAGCTCATCGATGGACGAAAGTGTCCTCGATGAGAAGACTCGGATTGAGCGATACACGTCTCAATCCTGGGAGTCACTTCAGGCAAATCCTTTGTATAAGGATTTGATCGAATTCAAGGACGTATTCCCTGAATCCGTACCTTGCGAGTTGCCTAAGGACAAAGGCACTCGACACGAGATCGATCTCAGACCGGGCTCGAAGTACTGTGTCATGAAGCAGTGGCAAATGCCTCGTGAACAAGTACTAGCGATCGACAAGTTATTTGCCGATCGCTTAGCAGCAGGCCATGTGAGGGTATCAACATCCCCTCACATCTCTCCGACCTTCTGTGTGCAAAAGGCCACAGGAGGGTGGCGGATAGTGCACGCATTCAACAAATTGAATGCTGCAACGGTACCGGCTCAGACGCCGATACCGAGGAAGGAAGTCATCATAGATGGTATGTCAAAGAGTACCATCTTTTCGTCCATGGATCTGATGGATGGATTCTATCAGATCCTCATACGTGAACGGGACATCCCGTACACGGCAGTGATTACCCCCAGCGGGATGCTGTGGGAGTGGCTAGTTATGCCACAGGGGCTGAGTAATGCCCCTGTAACATTCAACAGATGTGTCACAAATCTGTTGAGACCGGTGCGAGACTTCGCACCGAGTTACTTCGACGCTGTGTTCGTCCATAGCCGGTCTATGGACGAAAAGACGGACGTTGAAGTTCACAGAACTCACGTTCGTTAGGTTCTCTAACTTATGTGCAAGCATAAGTTGTACGCAAACCTCAAGAAGTGTATATTCGCGGCTAGCGAAATACCACTTCTTGGGTGCATCGTGGGTAAACACGGCGTACGCCCCGATCCCGAGAAGATCAAGGCGATCACCAACTGGCCTGTGACAGTCGATGTCAAGGGACTTCGGAAGTTCCTTGGTCTAGCGGCATACTTGCACAAGTACTCTCGCAACTACGCCGAGATGACGGTACATCTTTTTTGCTTGCTCAATAAAAATGTCAAGTGGCCATGGAACGCTGAGTGCCAGCGTTCCTTTGCGGGTATCAAGCAAAGCTTGATGCAGTCGACGATATCGGCGGTTGCAGATCAGGACAGACCATTTCATGTGGTCTGAGATGCCAGCGATTTTGCAATCGGCTGTGCGTTAATGCGATTTGATGCAGATGGCGCAGAGCGCGTCATCTGTTATCAGTCGCGTCAGCTGCAGACAGCTGAGCGCAATTACCCATTGCATGACAAGGAACTCCTTGCCATGAAGTACGCACTGGCTAAGTTTCGCGTCTATCTCCTCAAAGATAGACCGTTTGTTGTCTATACGGACCATGCGTCTATTACGCACGGCCGTAAACAGCCCACACCTCTCGCAAAGGATGGAGAGGTAGCTATCTTTCTTCGCGGAGTGTAACTTCTCCGTAGAGTATAAACCAGAACGACTAAACGTCATCGCTGATGCGCTTTTGCGCCGGCCCGATTTCGAGCCGGTCGCACAATCCAACAGTGAGGATAAGCCCACTGTTGCGACACTGACAGCCAGTGTTCCGTCGTCAAGCTTACTTGACAACGTACGAAAGGCATACGCAGAAGATAAGGATCTTCTGCGATAAATGGACCATCTGGTGCATCCATCCAGTAAATCATTGAAGGATTTACCGGCTTTGTACCGATCCTCATCGGATCGGTACACAACGCGTAACGGACTGTTATATAATACAGCCGTTGACGGAGACATGCCTCGTGTCGTCGTCCCCACTCATAATTATTTGCGATTACGCATCATGTATGAGTGTCACGATGCCCCAACAGGTGGCCATCGTGGGAGAGAAAAGACTTACCTCACGGTAAGTCGTGACTTTTACTGACCACGCCAGTATCAGTTTGTTCGCAAGTACATACGTGCTTGCGAGGTTTGTCAACGGGTGAAGACTAGTCCTTCATCCCGTGCGCCATTGCAGCCTCTGCCTGTTCCGACAGAGTGCTGGCAGTCTGTTTCAATGGACTTCGTCTTCGGTTTTCCCGAAGACGCTCACAAGAATAATGGTATTCTTGTGTTTGTTGACCGTATCAGCAAGATGGTCCACCTTGCTGCTGTCCCTGAGTCGATCAAGGCTCAAGGTTGTGCTCGTGTCTTTCTTGACACGGTCTTTAGACTCCACGGGTTACCCCGTGAACTCGTATCCGACCGTGACCCTCGGTTCACGGCGGCATTTTGGCAAACCGTGTTCCGTTCTCTCGGAACACGATTGAAAATATCTACTTCTGACCATCCCGAAACAGATGGTCAGACGGAACGTGCAAACCGTTTCCTCGAAGAGATTCTTCGAGGATATGTCCACTCGTTCCCGAGTTGGAGCGAATTCCTACCCATTTTGGAATTCGCCATCAATAATTCGGTGCATGCTTCCACACAGCACACACCGTTTTACGTGATTGGATTACGCCATCCACGTGTGCCCGCCCTTCTAGAGTGTGACTCGTGGATAAGGGGGGGGACTCGCTCGAGCAAAAATTGTTCTGGCTCTTGCTCATCACGTGTCGACGCTAACGTCGTCACGTATGATGCCGATGTCGATATTGTCGACATCGATGAAGAAAATCACCTCAATAATAGCGGCGACGCTATTACTGACTCGGATGATGATGACGATGCTGGTGTTTTAGCATCGCTAACGAATATTCCAGCGAGGAAGAAGACAACCTCGCTGAAGAAGAGAAGAACCTATTAGCAGTGCGCATGAAGCGCACTGAAAGACAAAACAAAGAGTCAGAAGAGAACTTCCTGCTGACTCGAGAGGCGGTAGCCCGTTTTGTTCAAGACTCCATCGCAAATGTGGTGGATCGTCAGAAACGAAACGCAGACAAGAATGGAAGAGCGAATGTTCTTTCATTTAAGGTTAACGACCTAGTACTACTGTCTAAGGTAAACTTACCTGGACATGCAGTCACTAGTGTCGGCAGTAGTAAAATACCGCCGAAATACATTGGTCCATTTCGTGTGTTGCACCGCAAAGGCAATGCATACACGATCGGATTGCCACGTAAGATGCGCACGCATCCTACGTTTTACGTGGGGAGGCTCAGGCCGTACTGTCAGTACGAGCCTTCTTCTTCCGATGAAGATAGCTCTCACGTTCAAGAACATCCATCAAGTTCTTGCGTTCACGATCCAGACGATCCGTCTGGTCGCGCAGATAAGATACCTCAGAACTCAAACGAGAGATCTCTCCGCGAGCTGTCGCCAGCTCGCCAACGAGGAAGCGGACGTCGCTCTCGACCTGCATCTGCGAGACCGCATACTCAGCGCGGTGTTTCGCATGCTCCGTCTCGTGTTCCTTGCGGTACTTCCGCAAGGAATCAGACAGGTCGTAACGCCTGTTCCTCTCGTACGTCAAATCATCGCGCAATTCGTCGATTGCGCGATCCATCTCGTAAGGGTCAAGATGGTGGGCCTGGGGTTCTGGAGGAGGTCTTTCCTCCTCCACCACATCCTTTGGTGGCCTCGCACGGTGGTCAAAGCTTTCTAGTGTAGCGTATTTTGAACCACCGTGACGATTCAGGATCAAGGACGAGCTACCTCGTCCAGTGGCGGGGGTATCCACCCTCTTGGAACAGCTGGGAGCCCCGATCTCAGCTGTTGATGGATGTTGAAGGTCTCATCTGCCAGTATGACGAGACTCATCTGATAGGTCCGAGGGCCCATCGGTAAACACGCGCCCTAGGCTCTTGTAGACGAATTGCAAGTTTGCAATCGCGTCCCGCATCTCACTCGAAATGTGTGCCCTTCCCCAGGGCGAATCTAGGGAATACACGTCCCTATGTGCACGCTGCGAGTTGTCAACACAACTCGCACAAGGGTCTCCCCATGTGAGGCAAGGAATGTCTGCCTCACTCGACAAACAGTGCAACCGGTACATGGCACCGGTTGGCGTTCGCTTTACGAATCTGAGGCATGTCGCCTCAAGTTTCTTGAGCCACCCTTCTCGTCCAAAATTCTTTACGTTTTGGACGAACACGTCCCACGCAGCCAAAAGCAAGGCCTTGTCACGCTTTTGGTTGCCGTTATACCATCGATGTCTACGAAAGACATCGAGATAAAAAATCCTCTTCAGCGCGAAAGTTGCTCGCGCTGGGAGTCAAGCCGTGAAGCTCAGTCGCATCGAATAAAGGTATTCGATGGTGTTGGCTTGTCTCGTCAGACAAGCTATTGATGAGCCGTTCGGGCAGACGCCACGGCTTCAGCTCATCACGCTTCGAAGTGGTACCTCTGTCGGTACCACGGCTCCCAGAATGACGACGGCTCGCGCCATCGTCATCACGCTCGTGCGAAGAAGCACGAGTCGGCGGTGGTAAGGAGTAATACTCCTCACCACTCTGATCACCTTCATCATCACTGCCGAACAGACTGTGTTGCAAATCACGAGTCCGTTCGTTCGGCAGTGGCCTTGGCGAACACTGAGGCGTTGCCGGTGAGAGAGACGCCTCTGCAGCATTGCCCGAGTCAGATACGTCTGACTCGCCAGAGTAGATGACCTCAATGTCGGGGTCATCATGCGCACGCGGTGCTGTACCGCGTGCACCTGCAGCACCTCTTGCTGCAGGCGAAGAAAGAGCTGCAGAAGACGAATTGTCTGCCGCAGAAGCTGGCACAGGCACAGACTCTGTTTGTCTAGAGTCACCCCGCATAGACATGTTAACTATGCGAGGTCAGGTTGAGTTATGAACGGAACTGACCCAACAAGTGCTCCCTGTCCCAATGGCGCCCAACGGGTGGCCGCCATTATTTTTGATAGTCACACGGTGACTATCAGTTAGGGGGGTGATGTAACGGGGCAGCCCGTTACATGGAATTGTCACTTTAAAGAAAGAATGACAATAAAGAATATTAAGTGAATATTCTCTGACCAATATCACCGATAATGGTGATATTGGTGAATCGATTAAAGGGTATGCTCATTGGTTGATATCTTGACGATATCAACCCACCAATCGCCGCAGGACGCGCGCAATGAGTGGTGACGAGACGTCACCATACACTCAGTTAGATTAACATAATTAAGTCGGGCCAAACAAAGAGACAGTAGCAAAAAGACTTAGTTATATTAATACAACAGTTTTACTTTCTCCTTATCCTACGCTTCCTCTGCGCCTCGTGTACGTCTGTCGTGGCACCCGAAACCCTTGCGTTAAGTTCACGCAAGGGTGTGCCCCGTTACAGGGCGAATTCCACTTCTTTCGTAGGCCAGCTTCCAATCACTAGGCATTGCGCGCTTGAAGTACCGAATCAGCATCTCATATGATAGGGTTACAGCACTAGATGGGAGATCCGCCATCATTCGCGTCAGATCTCTCACACGACGATAACACAGCGCAATCGTTTCATCACGCCGCTTGGCAAACATGAAGGGTTCCTCTTCTAATTGTTCACTGTAATCAACTGGCACGAAGTGTCTTGCCCACATCTCGTACGCTAAATCATACGCGTCGTCATCCTTTATGTCCACGCCTGCTGTAGCGTCGACGTAAGCTTCGCGAGCTTCATTCTCCAGCAACACCAGAAGGTGTAAATGTGCGTCTTCTCTTCCCCAGTTCTTTAGGGTCCAGATGTGGCGGAACTCGTGGGTCCATTGGAGGTATTCTTGCGCTGTACCACCACTGAAACGAGACAGTCCAATTTGTACTGCTTCGCGACGCACACCGGTTGTTCCTGCCTTAGTCTGTATGTCGAATTGCACCTTGCTTGCTATGGTGTCCATAACTAAACTTGACTTCAGCGAGGAAGCACGGATCATCATCGACGCGTACAGCTCAGTCGTGATCTGGACTCTATCTGCATCGACAAGCGAATGCGATATGGAAAAAAACGCTCGAAAACTGCAACAGAACAAGGTGACCTCCATTGACAATCGTGTCGTCAGCCGCCTCGAAAGTTCACGTTCATATTTGCGCAGATGAAGCAAATAGACGAAGAGAAGACGTTGGATGACGCTACATAGAGAGCTGTATTTAACAGTCAAGATGCAATAGAGGATCAATTCGAGTCTGTCTATACTGCATCTATTTACAACCTCAAACTGTAATTCTATTTTGCAGTAGATACATCGAAACGCATCCGTCACACGCAAAGTATGCCGGCGCTCATCTGTATGCAGCCAAAGGCCGCCGTGTACGTCGCAGCTACACGGCAGCACGCGGGAAAGACGAGCACGTGTTTAGGACTCCTGCAAGGACTGACCTCTCGAATGGACCGTATTGGCTTTTTCAAGCCCGTGGGTCAAGAAAGCGTTATGGTCGAGGGCGGCTCCAGGCGCGTGGATAAAGACGTGGCCGTGGCAAAAGGTGCGGACGACGACGGATAGAACATGACCTGGTGTTGTTTCTTGATGGCGGTATCGCACTGCTGTACGATACAGATCTGTGTGAAGTAAATGTGTCAACCTATGTGGTCTCTGCAATGGTTCCTATGTGCAGAGGTGTTTAAGCTCAAGACGTGTAGATACAGCGACATGTCCCCCGTCGTGATCGTGCCTGGCTACACAAAGCGCTTTTTGGATGGCGAGATTACGGTCGAGAGTCAATTGCACAAGATACGAACGAGTTTTCAGCATATCACGGACGCCAACGAGGTAAGAACGCGCTGTGACGATGGCCGGGGAGGTGGTCATGTATATGATTCCTGATCTGGATTATTTCTGTGTGTCTTTTGCTGCTTCTGCGATCGGTATTGCAGTTCACTGTCGTCGAAGGCACTGGTCACACTGGCGTTGGCTCCATCGTTGACTGCAACAATGCGCGGATCGCTGCAGAATTAGGTGTCGATATGGTGCTTGTAGCCAACGGCGGCCTTGGTTCGGCATTTGACGACCTCGCGCTCAATTATGCAATGTGCAAGGCCCATGGCGTGAAGGTGCGAGGTGTCATTTTGAACCGAGTGCGGAACGATCGCGTGGAAATGCTGCAGGAGTACTTTCCGAAAGCGATGAGGCACTGGGGCGGCAACGTGCCGCTGATTGGCATTGTCCCGAATTCACCGGTTCTTTCGAACCCGAGCATGCTGGACTTTGAAGGGCTGTTTGCGACCGCGATGCTTACTTCGCGCACGCGACGCTTCCAGCAGTACGATAAAACGGCGCTCGTGACAGCCGGTTTGCGTCGATTTCTAGAGAAAGTGGTGTCGCGAGAGCACGAGCGCGCGCTATTTGTCACGCACGTATCGCGGAACGACATCATCATGGGCTTCTTGTCACATGCACAGAATTTCGAGCTCATGGCGAAGAGACCTTATGGCGGTGGACTGATTCTCACAGGCTCGCCATCCGAAGATCACCACCAAAAGTACATCATGAGTCTCATTAAGCACGCGCAGGCACCTGTGCTGTACGTCCCCACGACAACCTTCGAAGCAATGGAGAAGATTACGCAATTCACAGGTGCGTACGAAGACAGCTTGTATCGCTCGTGACGCCCGTGCTCGCAAAAGCGTCTAACATCGTTTTCTTTTGTTCCTTGTGGTGCAGCAAAATTCAATCCAATGGACGAGCAAAAGGTGCGGTCTTGTGGCAAACACTACGCCAGCCACATTGACTTTGACGCGATTCTCGCGAGATAGACCGGGGTGTACCCACGCTGCAACAAATAACATCCAGGACGTAGTACAGTCACGGCTTTTCAAGCTCGAAAAAAAGGGTTTATGAATCTGTGTGTGTACTCAAACGCACGTGAACCACTCATCCGTTTGTGCGTTTCGACACATGTTGTGTGCGAATAGCCGATCAATCGTGAACAACCGTTGCAACAGCTTCTGCCATGTCTTCGCCAGCCGACGTGACTCCTGTACGCGGCGTCACGTTCGACCTCGATGACACGTTGTGGTGTGGTAAGACTCTGATCCGCAAGGCAAGCGCCGCTTTCCACGCTTTCTTGGAGCAAAAGACGCCGCTGCTGGCGGATGCGTTCCCTCCTGCAACGTTCGACGCGCTACTGATGGACTTCCAGCGCGCTGTGCCGGACAAGGCGCACGACTATACGTTTCTGCGCAAACACACACTGCGTCACTGTGTGAGTGTCTATGGCGCGCAGAAGTTGAATCTGATCGACCAGATGCAGCTCGAAGCTTTCATCGACGCTGCGTTCCAAGCGTTTCTGGTACCCCGCAGTCAACCAGAGCTCTTTGACGGCGTCGAGAGTTTGTTTCTAGCGCTCCACGAAGAGATTCGACGCTGTGGAGGGACCGAAGACGAGGATCCTGTTCTGGGGATCATTACGAATGGCAATTGTGACATGACCCACCTGCCGCGGTACTTCCACCTTCACGTGAGCTTTGTGGTGTCCGCTGAGCTCGTGGGTGCCGCCAAACCGCATCGAGCCATTTTTGATGCGGCGGTGGGTCACTTTCCGTCCGGCGCGTCCAATCGCCAGCACATTGTGCACGTCGGCGACCACTACGAGTGCGATGTGGAAGGGGCAAAACGCGCGGGCTTGCGCACGATTTGGGTGAATGCAAAGTGGGCGAAGGCAGATGCATTGACGCGAGCTGATTTGTCTGGGGAAGAAGCAGAGCGGTATGCTGCAGCAGACGCTATTGTGAAAGAAGTGAATGCTGTATTACTTGTTGTGAGATGCTGGAACGCGCTTGCAGTAACGTCGGATGAATGAAGAGTGTGTGTGCGTGCAAGGGATGGAGTCGTGGACATCGCACACAGTTGGTAGCATCGAGCTTACAATGAAGGTTGCACACTTCACTCACGCAGCGTACTTGCGTGCACGTCCAGCCACTAGCAACCGAAGCATCTACCGCGTCCGCCGTCCGATCACTGCCGTCTGCGAAGTCGCCGCCCGTCGAGCTGCCTTCCCACATGGCCAGCATGCCGCTTTTCCCAATGGACGCCAGGTGCGGTGCACGCTCGTTGGCCTGCGCGCCCCCCAATGTGATGTCTTGACTAGCCGCAGCGTCCATGGCAAAGTGGATCAGATGCACGTCGGCATTGTCACCTTTGCCATTGCTGACTGTCGCCCAGTACTTTTTGCTCGACGGGTCCGAGTCCGGCACGAGGTCGCCGAGATTGGCGGCAGCGATGCGCTGGACGACGTCAGCTTCGTGGCCCACGTCTCGCTCGAGCCGTCGAAGCGAGCCAAGTACATGTCGTAGCAGGGCACCGCCGGGTCAGGGGCTGTGCCACACATATTGCTCGGATTGCCGCAGTTGAGAGTGCCGCCCCCTTCGGCGTCTCTCGTGCCGAGAAGCACAAAGCCCTTGTCGTCGGCGTGAATGTCGGCAAAGTCGTGCATTGGCACTTCGATAGCGGCGCTGCTGCTCACGAGCTGATCTTTGGCGTCCAATTCGCGCACAATGACATTGCCATCGCCGCTGTGGAAGGCGATGCGCGATCCAATCGACGGCAATGCGGCGATGGCTTTGTCAGCAATGGGTGTTATGGTGTCAGTGGCATTTGGTGAGTCTACAACATTGAGAGAAGTGGCTGAGGTCTTTGCAGTTGGTACGCGCAGCACTTTGGTACCTACTTCCGACGTGAACGTGTCATTGGTGCTTTTGTATTGGGATGCAGAGGAGGAATATCGAGGAGTCGGTGTATTGAATGAAGCGACTGTAGCGTTGCGTGACGCAAAGAAAGTGAAGGTGCGCTTTTCGTTTTGCTTCCGTCGCCTTTTGAGGGAAAGTGTTGGACAGGTTGGTTGTGTCGGTTGTATTTTAGTTTGAAAAGTAAATATAATCCATTGTAGTTGTATTTACTATTTGGTTTGTATTGTATAGATTATGAGCAGGAGTTGGCTGTCTGTTCGAAGCGTTCATAATGTCATCTGAAGCAAAAACTGTCTGAGTTTAAATGGGCTCGCTGACTATTTTTAAAAGCAGGCACAGGCACAGATATTTCGCAAGGAGTTCTGCACCTTTTTGTAAAGTGCAGCGACTCCCGATTTGATTTTTTTACTATTATTGACATCGACCATCCTAGATTGTGTATTGCGCGTCAAAATTAGCCCTGTTTCCGGTTGCGCACCGTATAGACGCATTACATGACGGCAGTACTACAAAGCAACCCAGGAGCTTCGGTACAGCTTATGCAAAGCAAAGCAAAGCAAAGACATATTTGTACAAATGAACAATTGAGTACTGTTTACGGTGACGTGTTTCGACAGAAGCACATATTTTGCTACGACGTGTTGACGGTTGTGAGATATGACTGTACAGTTATTCTGTTTGTAAGATAGCTGTTCGTCAAATTTCACCTCATACAATCTGGCAAACGTAAAGTCATACATGCAGAATCAAGAAGCATGTTAAATTGATGCATGGTCTGATCAATCGATGTCAAGCGATCAGTGCAAACCAAATCAATCTGCGTTAAGTAGAACGCAAGGAGGTTGACAAAGATGTGGTATGGCTACGATCCGAAACACTGAAGCAGATCCAATGCGCTCCTCACCTTTATCTTTTTCTCACGCATGAAATTTTCGGATGAGCATCCTTATTTTTTGTTTGCGGCGATCTTGCAAATGAGTTCGTCAATTGCTTCATTCGGTAGCAAACAAAGGCTCAACAAGCCTTAGTCAGATATGTTCAACCTCATATCCAAGATTTGTATACCGCGTCAAGCCTCTGTCGTTTTGCACGTGAGTGGGAAGTGTGCCGTACCGGTCAAGGGCTGCTTTACCAGATTTTCCTACCGACCAAGCCATGTCATTTGCGTTGATTTGAGCCTGTGCTTACCCTATCGACGCAGATACTGGGCGGATATATGGCTCAATAATGTCGTCTGGGGGTGTTGAAGTCCTTACTACTGGCAAATCTGTTCGATGTTACCTCACTGTCCAGCTCACGAATATTTATCTCACGACGGCGGAGTCCCGTGCCAGGTTTAGAAATGGATAGTTCCTGTTTCTGCCAGTGCTACTTCGTTGAATCACCCGCGATGTGTACATTCTCAAGATTGTTTGTGCTTTTGTTTTCGGATCCCGGGATAGCGCTGCATCCGCAAAAGTGCCAAAACTTGTCCAAGAGCGGCGAGCGCGGAGGTGGTGTAAAACCTCGCGGTGATATCCCCAGATTAGCATTTGATCTATTCGTTCATGTCTAGTGATACCCCTTCTCTTCTCACGATTTACGTCGACTTCCTAGCGCTCTCGAAGTTACCTGTACATATAGAGCTGAAACTGTGGTCGATACGACATCGCCTCACCTCAAGTCAGGAAAATCTTCCACCACCTTCTACCTTGCCGCCACCCGTTCAACTTCATGATCGAGCAACTTCCCTTTTTATACAGTCGCAATGCGTGAGTGTAATTCGATCATCACTCCTTCCAAAAGCCTCATTTCTGAATGACCAAGCACCGCGTTGAGTTCGAAGCGAGCCCTCTTAGCGGCATGTGTATGAAGCCACCACCTACATACAATCTCCCAACAACAAATGAGCACGAAAAGCCCGAAAAAGATCAAAGACTTGCGTTAGCGATCCCCATCGTCGTCAACCATCGATGTTTCGATGATATCCTTGCTTACATGAACCACAAAGTGTTGCGGCCCGATGGCCTCGGCCATTATCTACACGGCATTAGCTTATACAGGCAGATGCGCTCCGTGATCGAAAGGGTGAAGGATCTACACTGTGCCTCGACTTAGACGAAACAAAAGGTTTTGTTCCCCGAACAGCACAAGTGATCACCCCACAACCTGTCGATGATATTTTTGACGCTTCGACAGAAGATGGGGGCAATATGACTCGTTGAGTCTTTGCACGCTACCAACGTGTGCGTCTCCGGTCGAATCGACTTACCACTCGCCCTCTGAATACTGAACGATATGAAATGGACCTGCGCAACATCAGCAACTGTCGTTACACAGTTGCTCTCTGTAGTTGTGCTACATTGACACTTGTTGCTGAATGTATCTATTTGTTCTGTACCTCACTACAACCAGCAAATGCTGGTGTAAGTGGCGTTTAGCTTGTAAGTGGACACGATAATGACTTCTTTCAATGGCACTGTTGTCACGCAAAAAGTGTGACTCTCTCTATGAACACACTTCTCGTGCGGACCTCATTTACTCGTCTACTGCCTGACAAATAAGCCCATCATACGAGTCCTCATTCTATCGATCGGGACGCACCATGTCAACTCTGCCTTTCATCTGACGTCGAGCGGCACAGTCATTTATACCTGCCTATCTTACCATTGCGCAGCACTTTTGAGGGGACAATCGCCTTCAAAAGGCCCATTGCGACGCCAGAAAAATCAGTGGAGTGAAAGAGGCCCAAAACAGCACGTCGAGGTATCCCCAACCAGTGACAAGTCTGCATGAACGTCGTGGTGCTGGCTGGTCTACTTTGTTTCGGAAGAACAGCAGCATCCACATCGAAAACATGGTCGCGAAGGCCACGATTGGATACACCACCAAGTCTGGCGGCGGCTGTGTAAACAATACGCCATCAGCTGAAAACTTGATCCACACGAGAACCTCGAAGATAGCAATGGATAGAACCATCCACGAGTTTTGCCCCAAACGCCAGCACTTGGGGTTCGTGATGAACTCGTAGTACTGTACATTCATGCGTGTCCCATAAACTCAGTAAGTAACCGATTAGCAGTACAAGATCAAGCAACAACAACAACAACAACAACACACAGCCGTACCTCAGCAGCTGCAGGAATTCCAATCATGAACACGAGAAAGAGGCGGTACGAGTTGAAGTTGCTCTCTTTCGGTATGCTCAACGTCGTCATCATAAAGAACGCATTGAGCTCTGTGATCAGACACATCACCATTGCAAAGACAATCTCTGCAAAGCGCTTGAAACTTGAAAACACCTCCCAGTGATACTGCTCCCACTCGAACGGCGTGAACTGATTCAGCGCCAGGCGGAAGTAGCCCAGCTTCTTGCCCCGCCGCCCCGACCAGTCGTATTCCTTCGATTCCAGCAGCCAGAGCGTCACGCGGCCAAGACACATGCCCAGCAAATTCGCACCCAGCATATCCAGCAGCAGCGAGTCCCACCTGCATCAACCAAACACCAATCAGCCGACAACCAAACACCAATCGAACACCCCACTACTGTCTTCTTGCCAGCCCATGCAACAACACCAACTAACAACAAACCACAAACAACACAAAGCCGCTACCCACCAGCACTCTTGAAAGTCGGAAATCACAAACTGCAGCGCCAGCTCGAGCAACTCAAACGCAATGCTGAGCACCCAACAGAACCGCCAGTCTCGAAACATGCACATTTTGCCCCACCAGCCCGTCACATGCGCAAAGAACCAGATACTCGACACGCCGCGCGTCACCGCCTACAACAATTCAACAACCCCACCCCACCCCCCAATCAACAACCCACAATCCAACACGTCACGTCAATCACAACACGTCCCTCCCCACCTCCATGCACAAGCCCTAAGCCCCCCCCCCGTTATCTCCCTATCCCACCTCCCAATTCATGTCGCACTGCAGCGTCACTCCTCTCGTCAACGTCGTCGGTCGACTTCCCACCTCTGGAAACACCAATTGCATCGCCTGCATCGCCCGCTGTCGGTTCTGCACGACCAGCGCCGCCAGCGCCAGCAGATACACGACCGACGCGCCGTGCACGACGCGCCACACGCCCGGGTGCGGCCGCGTCAGCAGTCCGTCGCGGGTCTGCAAGAAGCAGTAGACGAGGAACACGAGCGCAGCGGCCAGGAGCGCGTTGCGGCCGCTCTGGGCCGCGTCCAGCAGCGCGTCGCTCGTGAACGCGTCGTACGATATGGCGGCCGCAACGAGCGCCAGCACTGCGATCTGACGCGGCTGCTCGGGGAAGAGCAGGAGGCCGTTGAGTGGCCGACCGTGCGAGGCGCGGAACGTGTTGTACGACGAGCTGTCGCGTCGCGTGAGGACGTGCGGCGAGTCGTGCGCTGTGGGTGCAGAGGGTCGTGGCGGGTGCCGCGCGGGTGGAGCCATGGGGGGCGTCGAGCGCCCGACGTGGCGTCGACTGCTGCTGCTGCGCTTGCGGGCGGCGGGTGACATGTGCGGATGTCCGACCGCGAGTGCGACGAAAAAGCGAAAGACCGTACGGATAGAGAGTGGGTGGGTGGGCGGATGTATGGGTGGATGGACGCACGTTTGTGCGAGCGGGTGGTGTGCTTTTTTTGGTCGTACAGGTTTGTAGAGTGACGACGGCACGTGGGATCCTGCCGTCTTTCATGACGTGGCGCGTGTGTTCGCAGGTTCACCCACCCACACTCTCTGCCGTTCGGTCGGCGCTGTTTCGGGTTATGACGACGAGTAGCGTCTCGTGTCGAAAGCTTTCTTGTCACGGCTGGCGTAAAGTCTAGCGTTCCGCTTGAAAATGGCAAGAAGAACGTGACGTAGGACTGACTTGGTGATCTATATATTAGGAAGGGGGAGGGTGCAGGGACTGGATGCCGAGTAGTAGTTGTGCTACGGTAACGTAGCTGATAGATCGCCTTCATCTCGAAGTCAGGACGCAATTGACTCTCCGAGAGACCATTTTGGAGACTTCACATGGTGACAGGCTGACCGCAGGTGTATTTGCTTGCAGTTGTGGCTGAGCGCACAACAAGTCACAGCTGTTGCGACCGTGTAACGGGTGAGCCCGCTACATCAAAATAGATATTTCGTATCACTTTTGAATATTATCTATTTCGATAATGTTCAATTGACATTACTCGCAAGGTGTATGGGTGAAAGAATATTACACCCGAGGGTAATATTTCTTTGATGGGTTGCTCCACCTGATGGTTGATGTTCACGGTACATCAACCAGATTGACCACCAATCGCTGCTGGACGCGCGCGATGAGTGTTGAGCAAGAAACCCACATAGGAGATTGTAGTTAAGTATAGTCATCTCGAGACAAAGATGGTTTAGTATGGCAACATAACTATACTAAATACAGTTCTACTTTTTCCCTTAGACAGAACTTTCAAGTTCTGCCTACTTCGCTGCGCTCCCTCACGCCACGTGTACGTGACGTCGGGTGCACACAACCTTGTGTTGAATTGACACAAGGCCTGCCCCGTTACAGACCTACTTTCCAGAAAGATGATGTGTAATTGTGCTGATTTTGTGTCGATCCCACAACGTCTTTTGCGAAGAATGTAAATGTCAACCGGCTATGGGGTCTAAGTTTTAGACGGTTTGCGTGTAGATGCTGCAGAAATGGGCAATCTTTGTAATTTAAAGTAAACATCCGGTCTTTGCAAAATGGGTGTATTCGAGCGATACCTTCTAGGCAGAATTACCAGTGCTATTGACAAGCAGCTCATCCCAAACAACCGCTGTCGAGACATTACTATTACTAAGCGATGGGGTGCATAAGGAATTGCATACACAATACATTTGACGCACTAGTGTATGAGCGTAGTAGTGCGAGCTGTGGGCCAGACCCGTTATCGCAAAAAAGTGTCCCGAGATCAGAGAAAACATCGGACTCATCAATGAAGCACGACAGGACTGCAGCTAGCAAGAAACAATTTATTGACATTGTTGTGATACACACCACTGATCGAAAATGCCTTGTGAACACCGAACAGCATTGGCTTTCGACTTTCGTGGTGTAAGACTTAAAATCAAATGATTAAGAGTAAGTGGATAAAAAGTGCGCCAGATATTTACAAACTGCAAAACCACCACACGATGGGAAAAGAAAGAATATGCACCGCAGGATGGAATATAGAACAGTAATGCACCACATATAAACCATAGAGATGCACCAATATATACCCTACAACCAAATACACACTTGTCGCAGATCGTTCACATACGTCGTCGTACATCTTCTCCATTCCCTGTGTTTTGCACACAAGAGAAATCTAGTTTTGATCCTTTGACTAGGTTGAGATTGCAGGAGCCTCGATGATTTAAGCGTAAGCTGACAGTGTTGTTTATCGGTAAGTGTGTAGAGCGACGCTGTCTTTTCTGCTTTTTGCATGTCCCACATTTTGACTTAGCCATATGGTGTAGCTATTGTTTTGGCGGTTGTCGTTGACTTTCATGGAATGAGACAGCGCCGCGTCAAAGTGTGGCTTTACAATAAAGTGAGACGTGTATACAACTGTTCATGCAACATGACACGACGAATAAACAGAGGTATCGACAGCAAAGAGCAGACGATTTACCGGAGAGTTGATATCATTATTGCTGATAGTGAGGTGGCCAGGCGAATTATGAGGGTTTGCAAAGCGAAAGGCACGCGAATATAATGCGCGATGCGGATCGAGAGTTATATTTGTCAATCAGAAGAGGCTGCTAGTGTGGCAGTAATGCTGATGTTGATGGGGAGTATGTTGTAAAGAAGCTGTGAAACAAGATGCAGTATTGCGATCTTCAGTAAAGGACATTATGTACACAACCGCAGCTTTCTCAGTCCTCTCGATACACATCGAACATGTAGCACAATATCAGTATGTTGTGACTGATTTGCCAGTATGCTATAGTCTTTGCAGAGTCGCCCGTCTGCGCGTTGATAAAGCTTAATAATGCTCGCGTCGTAGACTATGTGTCAGTAGTTATAAAGTTGCTGGCGTGTCAATACCTTAAATGATGTAAAGCTATATGATATGTGGGATATAAACATTGGCTCGACACCACCAAACCCCTGGAATGTGTACATTTGCAATTTTCTATGACGTGGACATATTTAGTATACGACGCATTCGATATTGTGGTGGAGTGGGATCGCTCAATTTATCAGTCGATCCCAACTCTCCACTGGCGCCCGGACGACCGACTAACGGAGGGGGTACTCCGATTCCGTGTGTGTTGCCTTCCTCACCTTGTGTACCCGTCAGTAGGGCGGGTTGCACTCTTGCAGGTGGATTCGTGTCGAAGGAAAACTTGACCGTGTTGGAGATGGGGTTGTGATCGTGCGGAAATCTTCACGCGATCACGGGGTACTCGTGGGTACTGATATAAGTTACCCTGATCTCAACGAGACCGCCTTGTCCACTATGTGGTAGCTTGATCCGCGAGCCTTCTCGCGAATCTTGCGCCTTGCATTTACGTGTCTTGTTGCGTCCGATCGCATTTGATGTTGCTTGAGAGTTCTTGAAAACACCTGGCCAAAACAATCCAGGTGTGACACTCGCGTAGACGTGTAGCGCGACTCTTTATTCGACGGGGGCCAAAGATCCTACCCGGAAGAGATAACGTATGCCTTGTGAAGTAATTTGAACTCTGTTTAATGTTAACCAACCAACCTAACCCCTACCCCTATGCCTATCCGTATATCTTAACCAGATGTCACGCGTCGCCTTTCCAGGAAGATCGCCCCCTCGCATTTATGTGGTCCACATCCAGTATATCCACCGTTGTGTCTTCTTGTGGCCCACCCAAGATATCCTCGTGATCCTACTAGCGGATCGGGATCCTATGAGCGGATCGGGATCCTACTTAGCGGATCGTGATTCCGTTAGCGGATCGCAGCTGGAGATCGGACATGCGATCCTGGGTTAGGATCGCGGTCTTCCAGTGAGATCGAGGGCCTTGTATTGCCATGTCTCACGACGGATTGAGTAATCAAAATGGGCGTGACTACCCCATAGCCTCATCCCAGGCTGGGCGATCCTGTCCACTCGGGGTTTGGGTACGCTATTGCCAGCCACCCATCCCAGCTTGTATCCACCCATCATAGCTTTCTTGGCTTAACTGGAGCGTGTGACCCTTTGGATTGCCGATCCCAGTCCCAAGGAGATTTCCTTGTGACCGCTTTGCCACAACCGTCCCCTACACCGTCAGTCAACATGCGGTGTTGATCTGACTGTGCAACATTGTGTGCTTCATTTCTTTTTCACGCACTCTTGCATCTTCCGACAAGATGTCCGATCCCGCCCATCCGGCTCAGGTATCTCCTCCGGCTCTAGGATCGGGGCCCCTCGGATCTCCCTCTGCGATCCCAACTCCAGATATCGGAACTTCGACGCCTACCAGTCCTGCGATGTCAGACGCCTCCACCGTGCCGGTGACCGAGTGTGATCTCTCGGATGTGGTGACGTGGACCCAGATGGGGGAAGGCTCTGGTTGGTCTTTCATCGCGATCCCTCTGTCGCGATCCTCTTCGATTCTCGCTCCGGACAGGACCTCCGCTAACCAACCTGTTCCAACTCCGGATCCGAGTGAGCCCATCTTGCTCCCCAGTACTCGGGTCGAGGCCTCGTGTTTGGTCGATCAAGCCACGTTAAACGCAGCGATTGATTTGATTTACGTTCGCCTAAACCTCCAACAGACTGTCGTGGATCTGTACCAGAGTATGAAGGCTGCTTTGGAGCGGCAGATGATCCAGAATCGCCAGCTGGGTGAGGATCTTCAGGATCTCCGCACCTCCGCGCCCCCTTTCGTCCAGTTCGTCCAGTCGAAGTACGACCGCTAGCGCGTTCGCTATGACGACGAGGTCAAGCAGTTCGAGGTCTCTCGGGAGGCGTTGGCCGACCGGGTCGACCAGACCGCCGTGATCGAGCATCTGAAGTCCGAAATTCTTCGTGCTGTGCGAGCGCGTCATGCCCCACAGGAGAAAGCCGATCGTGAGATCGCCGGAATACAGAAGAATATGGACGAGGCGGGAGAACGGTTGGTGGCTGAATGCGACAAGTTTTCCCACAGTCTGGACAAGGCAAATTGCAAGAAGTAGAAGTACAAGAAAACCGGCCGTCAACATTAAGAAAAGCTGTGTCGCGCGCTCAAGCAGATATCGGGGCTTCGGGCCGAACTGGGCTAGGCGCAGGATTCTCTGTCCGCCCGATCCGCTGAGTGCGATCAATTGCGTCGCATCGTATCGTATCGTGACGTTACGTTGAACCAGATGCGAGTTCAGCTCGCGGACGTGGCTTCCGAACGTGATCGAGCCATACGAGATCACACGACCCTTCGGGATCGCATGGCATCGCTGGTGCCTGGGGATACTTCAGCCACACCTACAAAGGTGGGATCGTCTACCCACACACCCGTTCCCGCGACTCCTCAACCGATGTCGAACGTTTCAGGATCGAGTCGCAAGCGATCTCGAGATCCCTTACCATCGTCAACTTTGCTGCCTTTCAAGAAAGTGGCTCGATCCGCTGCATTCAATGACAAGCCGTTTCCAGTTTGCTATCCCAAGCCTTCTTCCGCTCCAAAGGGAACCCGAGATCTCAAGGGTCGTCGCGTTCTCAAGAGTCGCCATAATTTAGCGAAGCCTGCAGCTACCCCGAAACTGGGCAAGCAGAGACGCCGTGGTCCGAGCTTATCCTCGTCCAAGGGGAAGGATACATCGGCAGATGAGGATGAGACTTTAGCGGCTTTATCCGGTTCGCGATCTTCCAGTCGTAGTCGAGCATACAATCCGGCGGCACAACTTTCGGTTGGGCCTTCTTCGGATCTGATCGTCATAGACACGCCGATACCTTCGCGCGATCCTCCATCTCCGGTTGATCCTTTTATTCCTGCCGTGACCAAGGTGTCTTGAGCAGACCTTTTCGGAGAAGCGTTCAGTGACTCGGATGGTTCCATTAGCCTTTCTGATTCGCCGCGTGATCACGTCAATTCGTTGTTATCTCTGGTGGAGTATGATGAATTACTCCCCACCAAGGTCTCTCGCGATCAGTAGATCCCTGGATTTCGAGATCGCGTACCGCGATCCTTCACTCAGGTTTCTCCATGGTCGGCACGCAAGGTTAGTTGGACGAGTGTCGCGGAGATGGACATTGACTTCCTGTACCGCCACTTATCCCGTCCCAAAGGCTATGTCTTCCCAACGGTAATGGTGTCCAGGTGTCCTCCTCCCACATCTGAGTGGGTACCTCGGGGGGGGGGGGGGGGGTCAGGCCCAGATCGCGGCCTTATATGCCCAAGAGCGTTGGGATACAGACAAACGTCGGATTGCGCCGATCTCCTTCCCTCGTACCGGCTGGTTCGACCAGCTCGCTTCTCTATACTTGGAGTTCGAGGATCGCAACCGACAGGCTTTGTGGGAGTCGACGCACGCGATCTTCCTTTCCAGTGAACAGCAGGCCATTGATCCTGAGCTGGGCCAGTCCTGGAAACAGCGGAAGCAGCGTCGGTCTCGAGCTAAACCTCAGTGGAAGGCGATCCTTTGATTCATCTTGCAAGGTATGATCGCAGGTCATTGTGATCTGGACATCCTATTGGATCCGTTCTTTCTGCAATTCCCTTCTTTCAAAGAGGTTTCCCCTTAGTATCCTGGCCTGGGATGCAAACCGAAGGGCATCCCCAATATGATCTCTGCTCTCCCGTTGCTAGACACCACTGAAATTTGGCGCTCCCAATATCGATCCTCTATCGCCGACCACCTCGGATCGTCGATCGCACAATTGCCAGGTAAGTACTTTCCTGCTTGATCGCTAGGATTCGATTTAAATGGTTCCACAATTCAATATAATCTCTCTTGATCCTTAATCTTGTTCTTCATTTTGAGATAAACTCTTTTTATTTGGCTTTTCAACCGCGATCGGATCCCCTCGATCCGCTATCGCCACTCATTTTACATATAGCCTCGATCCATCATCTCATACAACCTCCTTGTACAATTGACATTCCACCATTTCACGTCCACCTTTTAGCATGCGTCAACCGCTCATCGCTTCGATTACCCGTTAATCTTCGGTTTTCTTCTCATAGGACTGCATAACTTCAAACCGGTTTTGACTCGCACGATTGCACTCGAAATATTGCAACAACGCAACACAGTTCAGGTCCGGATCGTCTATCCAGGTCGGATCGTCGTGTTGCTTCCATTGAACCAAAAACTGTCAATGCACTCGACCAAATGGTGTTTTATGTTCTGATCGTACATCCAAGATTTTTTCCACTTCGTATTCGTCAGCAGCCAACTCGTTTCCCAACTACCTTCCGGCAACAATGACTCATCGAAATCCACACAATCCTCACAGTTAGTCACTAGCACACTGCCTGGTCGATCGGAAAACTGTAACACTGGCTTTAACTTGGAGACGTGCACTATCGGTAACAATCGGTATGGAGTTCCTGAAATCTCCACCCGATCAGCATGTTCCCCACATAACTCCGCCACTTGGAACAATCCATGCCACATATGTGCTAACTTCCGATCATAGCCGTCTTTGACTCGGTCCAAGTAGAGCCAAACTTGCGATCCGCACTTAATATCACACACTTCATTATTGTCATTGTGTCGATCCGCTCGATCTTGGATCGCGATCTTGAGACGTTCGTTTACCATTGCTCTTTCCCTCTGATATTGACGCTGAACGTTATATCTCCATCTTCTAGGGTCAGAATCGCGTGTTTTAGTGATCCCCAACGGTAATGTTGCTTCCAATATCGATCTTGGATCCCAGCCATGGATCAAATAGAACGGAGTGTCTCTACGGATCGATCTTGTGCCGTATTCATAGCGAATGTCAATCTTTCTGCATATTCATCCCAGTCTTTCTGTTCTACGTCCGTGACGTACATCTTAATTGACTGAGTCAACGTCTGTACCATACGCTCCGCAGTTCCGTTAGCTTGCGGTCGGTACGCCATGGTCGCACGTTGCTTTTGCCCTGCGATCCGATTGAATGCTCGAAAAAAGTCGGACATAAATCCAGGCTCCCTGTCGTGACGTATAGCTTCACTGGCTCCAAATATGCGAAACACACATTCTTCATCACCTTCAGCGATCGTTTGCGCGGTCCTCGACTAACTTGCTCTCGCGATCACATATCCTGAGAAAAGATCTATCCACAGCAGCAGTTCTGTGTTTTCTCTAAATGACCGCGGCAATGATGGGATATGATCCATCGCGATCACCTGAAATGGGCATGTAGCCTGTATGTTTCCCGGGTATCTGCCGCGGATCGCGGGTAGACCCTTCCCGGTTGTACAGTCCACGCATTCGCCAACGTAACGTTTTATACTCCGATACAATCCTCTCCAGTGAAAATTGGATCTGATCCGCTGATAAGTCCTCCCGACCCCCTGGTGACCACCCTCCAAGCTGGTGTGGTAATGGTGCATAAAATTTTGTTGCAACAATTCCGGTGCAACCAGACGGATCACCTCTATACGATCGTCCGCTTCCTTAGCGGATCGGGGGCTGAAGAATAGCAATCCGTTTTCGTCCACTTCGTAGTCTAGATCGATCCGAGCGCATATTTTTGCATCCTCTGCGTTTAATTGGGCCAGATCGCCCACAAGATATTCCTTCAGGTTGGCGATCCAGCTCTCTTCCTCTTGCGCTTATTTTATCCGCTCGATCCGCATCCGCTGCACTTTTTCTTCTTGTAAAACTTCGGAGTTGTTGACGCCTTCGCTGCGCGGATCGTGTGATCGCTATCATTTTCACCACGCGATCCTTCCTTTCCGGCAGGAGCAACTCGTGCAGCCTGTTGATGGATATCAAATCGTGCAATTTTTGATCTAAGTTTACAATGACACCTTCTTCTTGCTGCGGAGATGCACTGGCTAGTCGATCCGCGCTTTGATTCCACTCATTCTTCATGTGTAAGAACTCGTGTTTTGGCCAAGATCGAAGTTTCTGCATTGCTTTATGACGCCGTAACTGAAGCCCAGGCGCTTTACAATCCATCTCTCCCCGCATTTGCCTCATCACTATGTTCGAGTCACCACATATAATGACTCGTCCCCTAGTTTGGTTGTCCAGCAGATCGAGACACAACAACATGCCACGATATTATGCTGCGTTCACCGTCATATCTGCAGCGTATTTTGCAGCGGCTAAGATGACGGTCCATTCTGGTAGCTTCCACACGATCGCACTATATGCCCGCTCTTCCGTTTAGTCCGTGCCGATCCGTCGAAACTGACCACCAACAGGCATTCATCCGTACCTACCGTGGGAGGTAGCAATAGTTACCAATTGTTTAGGTTTCTTCTGTGGAGCGATTGCAATCAGCACATCATCTACCTCATCTCGCGGAGTTATACTAGCTGCGAGAGCGCCTAGTATTTGATTCTCTCCTTTGTTACATCTCTTGACCTCCAGTGTCCAATTCGATAGCAGCGCAGCCCATCTTCCCAGTCTCCCATTGAAGCCAGAAGATTGAACTAGCCAAGCTAATGTCGAATATCGAGTGAGCACTCTGATCTCTCGAGATACTTTCATGGTGTAGCACACTTCAAAGATTCGAAGTAGGGCTAAAAATTCTTTCTCCACCATATCATAATTAACTTCATTCGACTTTAGTGTGCGACTCGTGAATGTCACCGGCTAGTATACGCCGTAATATTCTTGCAATAGAGATGCCGATATTGCCCACTTACTAGCATATTCCACGATCACTGGAAGTCGATCTGGATCAAAATGTTTGAGGATCGGAATTGTAGCGATCTTTGCCTTCAGCAAAGTGAACAAAATGGCGGCCCTTTCCTATCAAGATAGCTCATTTGGATCAT